GGCTAACAGCAAAATGCCCACCTCGCTGCTCACTCCCTGCCTCAGTGAGATGGGGGAGAAAACAGGATGAGAGAGCCCATGGGTCAAGATAGACTGCTTACCACTGTCATAGGCAAAACAGGCTCAACTTGGGATAATTAATTGTGGCCAATTAAAACAGATTTGGGTAGTGAGAAACAAAAAGACAAACATTAAAACAACTTTCCTTCTGAATCTCCCAGGCTTAACTTCACTCCTTCAGTCCTGACTCCTTTACCCTCCCGTAGTGGTGCAGGGGAATGAGGGGCTATGGCCAGTCCATAACAATTCCTCTCAGATGCTCCTTTCTCTTCACACTTTTCCCCTGCTCTTGCACAGGCACTCCAGGGTTCACAGTTCTCATCAGGAAATACCCATCTGCTACAGTGTGGGGTCCGTCAAGGGCTACAGTGGGGATTCCTGCTCTGCTGGGGACCACCTCCTCCTCCTCCTTTCTCTGTCTTTGTTGTTCCCTGTTTGTGTTCACTCATTTCTCCCCTCCTTCTCTGCAGCTCCCCTGCTACCAATACGTTGCCACTTACACCCCATACAGGTGATAATGCTGGTCACAGCGATGAAGAAGGTACCAGAATACCCTCAGGAACCTGTGCTCAGTTTGAAATGGTCTTTTTCCCTTAAGGCCAATTGACAACTGCTCAGAATCTGTCTCACGAGCCACTGTGAAAAAATGGGAATAAAACCCATTACATTTTATTGTGTAATTCTCTCATAATCTTAACACAGATAAAATTCACATAGATTCTCAGTTAAAAATTCCTACAAAAGCAAATGCCATACTAATAAAATTTTCATTTCTCTGGTCATTTTTCACAGCCTGGATAGAAAACTGTCGTGTGTTTCTGATTTAGAGCCATTGCTGACTTCTTCTCAACTTCTAACGTTACTGAAATCAAAGGACTTTTCTGTTTTCCCTTGAAAAGCTTTAGTTTAGACAAATACTTTCAGTAGCTGATCCAGTAGTGTGATGCTGCCTACAGAAAGGATTGTCTCAGAACACAAGAGACTAAGGATCTGTTGGTCCCTAGTTAAATATACTGCTTTTCTACACTCTTTAATCTCTAGGAGGTATCCAGAAATGTGATTTTTTAAACAGCCTTCCTGAAAACCACCAATACTGTTTTGCAAAATGAAGTTACGCCTTCTGTTACTCCACAGTATGTCCCTCCATCCTCCACTGCTGCATTCAGATAGCAGATCTTCACTCTTAGCCTCTCCCACAAGCCCTTTAGGAAACACACACCATTTAACTTCATTCTTATGCTGGCAGTACACAAAGTGACTTTACATTTCAGGTTACAGGCCCATTTTTTCATACGATGCTCTGGCATCCTGAAATGTCTTGGCTTTTCATCAGTTAAACCACTTGGTTTTTACTTCATATTTGTTGGATGAGTGATATTGTAATGAGTAAAACTGGCTCTTTGATTTCCAGACCAGGGGAATGACAGTGCAGCAGGATATACCCTTTATAGAGAAAAGTGGAAGTACTGCGTAGGCTATCAAATCCGATCTTGTATTCAGCTATACATCAATGCTTGATCAGTCTTTCACTGCAAGTTCACCGAGGTACTAAGTTGTCTTTGGGAAAAAAGAGAGGAAGAGGGTATTCTTCCAGAAGAAAAAAGTATTTGTGGCTCTCGAGAAAGCTGCTTGCAGCATGGACTCTACCACACTTGTCTTGAAATCATTCTCTTTGAAGACTGTTTCCTAACCCTAGAAATACTTGCCTCACATTACACAGTTTTAGGATACAGGAAGTAGTGCCTCTTTCATCCCCCATCATTTTACAGGTTTTTTTATTTGTGAGTTCTGTTTGCTGCAGTGGAATGGCTCCTGCTTTTTACACTGAGTTAGAGCAGAACAACTTTCATATGCTTTTCCTTTAAAAGTTCAGCTTTGGGAAGCCAGGAGGATGTACTGAAGCTACTCAGTTATGACAAGCTTCTTCCTCATGAAGTCCACTTCCCCATATAATCATGTCATTAGCAGAGGCATCCTTGAGAGGCTGGCCTGTCACGTCAAACTAAGATTGCTATTACCTGCTGTTACGGCCAGTGTTTTGAGTGGGATCAGAAATTTGGGCAGTGGAACGGACAGCCCCAGATGTCTCAGCATTCCAAATTAAATCATTATTTAAATAGAGAAACAAAATGGGAAAAGCCGTTTGTGGGATCTTTCAAAATATATTTCTAAGATTTCCAATAAGTGTTCTCAGGGATCCAGCCTGAGAAATGGCTTAAACCTCTGAAGTTGGAGATTCTATTCTTAAAAGAAAAGCAAGATATAGTATGTTAGAAATTACCTTGGTGTCCAGGCATAATGCAATGAAGTGTATTTCTCCATCCCAAATTTGCATGTGATATAAAAGGGGTCAGTTTGACAAAGCATCACTGTAGTCAGCAGCTTCCCAAAGTGTTCAAAGAAAGATGCATCTTCTCCTTTTTAATCAGACTTATGAATAGATAGGGATGTTTTTACATGCGCTTGGAAGTCTCTTACCCTGCGAGTTGGCCCGTTCACTGTGATTTTTCCTGGAACATGGTACTACCCAGGGTACCTGTGCATATCATAGCCTCTGCCATCATTTTTAATAAGTAGCTTATCTCTGTGATGCAACTAAAAGCAATCCTGAGTGTCTCCAGGGTTTGTTGTAATTAAATTTTATTGTTGTATTTGAAAATGTACAGGTTTTGAAAACTGGAGCAAGAAAAATGGAAAGGAGATTCTAGGGGGTGATAGTCTGATTTTTAGAAGATTTTAACCCTTTGCAGTTTCCAGATCTACAAGCTTGCTTATTCTTCCCAAGTAGCTGTTTACAAGTGAACACAGCTGAAGCCATAAGCTATAGCAGCTTGTGTGGTTTATTAGCTGATGTCAGGTAACCATGCAAAGATTATCACACCTGCAGTCAGATGCTGTAGGATTCCTAATAAGACTATAGAAGACCTTTTCTGAAAGTTTACATTTGCTGCTGCCCCTTTCTTCTCCAAGTATTTACAGCTACAAGAGAATTACTCCAAGTCATAGTGCTGCCCGTGAAGTGCTGTGGGGAAAGGCAGGGTTTGCAGCTTCTGATCTGGACAATAAAGACATGTCGGTGGTTTGAACAGAAAACTGACAAGTTTATCTACAAGTTTATCAGCTCACCAGGACTCCTAATCAAGCAGTTTC